TGTAGACAGTGAGTAATTGATCTGCAGTCAGAAGTATTATTGACGTTCGTTGTTATAGCGTTGGTTTAGCGCGATTGTTGAAGTTGAGTGTATCGGTTATATTCGGAAAGAATAAAGCAGTTTTACTAAGTAAAGACTTGTGTCGTTAAAATTTCGTCGGAACGAAGTTACGGAAAAATCAATTAACAAACGGAGACGTAACAATATACAAGACTACACTATATCTAGAAGGATCACGAGATTTAAGGAAAAGACGTGAATGTTCGAGAATGACGTGGAGTGATACTAGTCACGTGACCTCGATGTCGTAACAATATTACTACGCCCCCAGTGGCACAGCGGTATGTCTGCGGACTTACAACGCTAAAAATCTGGTTTCGATACACGTGGTGGGCAGAGCACAGATAGCCCATTTTGTAGCTTTGTGCTAAACTACAAACAGTCTTACATATTACTAGTTTTAGACATTACGTATAATACGAAAGTTTCTAAACTATTTGTTCAATTATATACATCAACTTTTAATATTATTTAAAAAACACAGAAAAAAAAACCCAAATTAATCTATATAAATATAATCGTGCTGTCTATTGTATGTCCGTGTAACTACTTCGCAGGGTGTGGATGGATCTTCACCAAAGTTGGTATGGAGGATCATTAGGTCCATGCGGGGGTACATAAATGTTTTTAGTTTTGCGGTTTTTACCACAACTTCGACCCCTGTAGATGGATCTACACCAAACTTGGTATGGTGGTTCATTGAGTCCATGGGGAGATACATACAAATTTTCAGTTTTGTATTTTGCGGTTTTTATGGGCGCTTTTTACAATTACATATAAGGGAAACAACTTTTCATGTCCTAAGATAACTTTTCATTAATCATGAATTTGCAAAACTTTCGTCCGTACATGTGACGGATACTCCAGCTTGTACAGAAATATTTTTGCAGTGGGCGCTATTAATTCTCATGACGTAATAATCAGCGAAGCCTGGTATTCAGGAGTAACAACAATAAACATTAAACGTCTTCCGTGAGAGGTTAATAACATATTTAAAACTATCTAAAGACCTTTTAAGGGTTTAGTGTAAGAATTTACGTAATATCATCAAAGTTTACAAAAACATAATAATATATTTGTCTTCAAAATTATCTTATCAGTCATTTCGCGTTTAACTTTCAAGTCTTAAGTTCTTGCTCGGTTAGTAAGTTAGAGAAGATGCCACTGCCAGCCAAAGCAGAAGATATTTTGAAGGGTTTCAAACTGTATTCTTTTAGTTTTACAAATTAAAATTATTTTTAGATCTAATTTGAGCATAAATTTCATGTTGTAGCATTTAATACAAATCGAATTCATGCATTACGTCGAGCATCAGTGTTGACACATGGCATGATTTTTATAATTATGTGTTTGCCTGATTATTTAATTTTAAATCAACTACATGGACTATACACGACGACTAAAGCACGACAAGTTTGAAATTAATTCAATTATTTATTAAAACGAACTTGTTCCTGGAAAAAAAAATTATCATTTTGTTTTCATAGTGTAATATACAGCTTATTTGCAAGTTGTTTTATTTGTATGCTTCCCCTTGCATATTACAGTTACAGAACCAGTTTTTAAATGTTTTTGAAAAATATTTTTTATTAATATTTCTTTTAAAATAGTGAAATTATAATTATTTATTTATTTCAAGATCAATGATTTATTATTATATATTTTTACTTAATTAACTTTAGTCATCAATTGTAACAACTGGTGAACCAGCAAGATAGTCTTAAGGTCACATCTTATCCTTCTTTTCTCAACAGAAAATAAGAGATCTTAACCTATCCTTGTAAGAGAATCATTTCATCCCTGGAATCATTCTAGTAGCCCTCTGAACTTTTATCAATACATCAGTATGTTGCCTTATATAAGTAGATCATGACTGTACAATGTACATATTATTACAAGTGATTTATATAGAAAAATAATTAACTCTTTGGACTTTTAACTAGTATGTCTATAAATACATGCTAAAATTGTATTAGATTTACTGCTAACAACAGAGCACTGCTTCAGTGTGTTGAGTGACTTATTGACCACTATGCCAAGGTTCCTTTCTTCAGTCACACTATTGTGTTCCCATCAGTGTATTAAATGTGTGATCCAAATTTTGATAATACAAATATATTATTGTACACTTAATATAATTGGAAGATCATTTGGGTCAAATATTTGTCTAAATTATCAATTGATCTAAGTCATTCTGTAACACCTTATCATCTTCAATAGAGCAAGAAATACTCAAGAGTTTAATTTGATTAGCAAACTTTACTAATTTGCTATATATGCCCCTATGAATATCTTTAATGTGAATGAGAAAAACAAAGGCACTGACCTTTGAGGCACCCCATGAGTAACAAAGGTCCAGTTTTAGAGGACTCCTTTAATAACAACCTCTTGTCTTCTCCCATACAACTACTATACAATCCAATAAACCAACCATATTCCAACCCCTAATGATGTGATTTTCATAGATAATCTTTTGTGTGGCTAAATATTGAAATTCTTGGCACACCAAGTCCACACCTTTATAGAGATAACAAGTAATGTCATCAAAAAGGTTAACAGATTGGTAAAGGAAGATTTCCCATTCATGAATTCTTTTGGCTTTATTTATGATATCATATTTCACTAAAGTGTTTTTAAAGCACTTTTTATCAGACTAGAATTTTTCCTACTACATGACTAACTGAACTGTAATTTCCAGGGCACCTGTTCTTACCCTCTTTTAATTCAAATGTAACATAAAATATTTGATGATGAGAATAATAAGACAAGGAGACTCAAATATACATTTTGGCAGGGTAGGATTAATTTTAACTTGAGATAGTTTTACCTTCCTAACAGGGTGGTTGGCCTTTGGAATAGGTTGCCTTTAGCTGGATGCAGTAAATTTAAGTAAGTTCAAGGGAAGACTTGATAAATGTTTAAATGATCAGAGCTGGATTTGAGTTAATAACTAATTCTCAGTCATCTACCCATTCTCTACTGATCTACCAAAAATAAAAGAAAGAGAGAGGCTTGCATGTTTGATCTTCTTTAAAACCCTGAGGGTGAAACCTTGTCTAGCCTTGATGCTTTGTCTATTTTTAATCTCTCAATCTTTCCGCTTACCACCAAGGGTTTAGGCGAGAAATATGTAATGAGTGATGATGGGCAGAGTATCTTAATATGCATTTTAATAAGAATTTTTTACAAACAAAACTGAAGCATTCAGTGAAAAAGTTTTGAAAGTTTGAGCTTTTTGTTACGTTCATTGGGGGGAGAAGAAATGATGGACATTCTTCACACTAAATCGCAAGTGTTGAATGCTGTTTAAAATTTAACAATTTTCATGCTTTGGCTTTCATGCCCAGTGTCAACATAGATGACCAGTGTGGGTATAAGTGACCCTGGGAGTGATTTTTACACTATAGCTTGAAACAGCATTTTGGCTATAATTATAATGCTCAGTAAACTGCTGAGTATTGTACTATATTGATGTTTTAGACTTTTTCACCTTTGTAACATATCATGAATAACAAGGAACTCTCTAGTCTTTCAAGACTGTCCCCATATGCTCAACCCTGAGAAAAAGTAAATATCTAAATTCACCCTTTATCAGCATTTTCAAGTTACTAAGAATTTATGAGTTTGCACCAAGATTGTACTGAGTATTTGTACATTTATGTTATTGACATACTCAGAGTATATTTTCAACTTCATTATTACTATTCTAATCACTCTGTTTAGTTATGTTACTTTATAAGAGCCTAAAGGGACATTTTTAGACAAGTTAAGTTTTACTTCTTTGATCCAAATGTATTTTTTAGTATTGATAGCTTAGTATTTTTTAAGAGTTAATGTAATTTGGATGTTCAAAGATGTTATTTTGCTTTTATTCAAGGTATGAATGTTTTCTGTTCTTGTTCATATTGATATTGATGATTATCTTCTGGCTTGTGAGAGAAAGTTATTTGAGAAGATAGGGCAAATTGTTGGTAACTGACAACTTTAAAGTCTTGTTCACCTGTGAAAGTCAATGATTCTATGAAGTGCTATATATTTTTTCTTAAAAGTATGATTTTATGTTAAGTTCCATGAGTTCTTGAAACTTGTTTGTGTAATCCACTTAGAACTCAGTTGCCATTTTACTGTTGCTTTAAGTTTTATGTTATTATATGTTAACTCATTAACTTTGAATGTTTTATTTGTGTATTTTTGTAAAGCACTTTTTGTTATGACATGTGATAATGTTTTTGTTTAAGATATAATAACTTGATACCATACATTTCATTCATTATTTGTTCATATAGTGACATTAAGTAGTATTAAATATATGAAATTTCAAGAGTATCTTGTGCTCAAGGTTAATAAGTAAATATAAAACAGCTTTTAAGCAGAATATACATCTTTAAAATTGGTACACAATAACTATATAAAATGCCCAATTAGTTTTGACACACCAAATATGTCATTAACAAGGGTAACACTAACACAGTCACAACCACTACTAAACATATTTGTACTGTAACTCTCATTACATTATGGATGCATTACAAAAAAAATATTGTATTGTATTGAGATCTACACCCATTTCATTGTTTATAAGCCTATTTCTATTTTTAGAGACTCCATTTGATCTTTTAATATTATATTGATAGTATTATGTTTTAATCTTATACAAACACCAGTCTTCTGAGAAAAAGTGTGATTCAACCTTCTGTGGTGAAAATATTCATACTTTTTGGTCTGTGATTATAATTTAGATTATGTGTGTAATCTACATGTCCTGGAAAGGTATCAGAGTAGTTTTTTCATTTTCAAAAGAATACTATATATCAGGATTAACAGTTTAACCGATTATGGAATTTCTTCAGCTAATACTCATCCTTCGGTATTACAGTGAAAGTGTCATCATGTAGCATATATAAAAAATCTGGTTTGTTGTCTGATTTGGCAAACAGTTTGTCTTCAAAATCATTTCTAAAAATATCAACTAGAAGAGGAGAAGATTGGTGTTTATTAAACATTAGTTTGGCATGTGTTGAATGATTGTTGAGAACAAAAAGGTATACAAAATGAAATTATTTCAAATAACTGCTCTATCTACGTGTAGAGTATTTGAAGCTAATTGAATAAACACGTTTTTTCAAGATTAGAAATTATCCAAGTGGTAACTGACAAAGGGAGAAAAATGGAAAAGATAAAAAATATAATGTTACCTTACCACCTGGAGATCTCAAACAAAATAGGTTTTATTGTTAAAAAGTAATCAGGTTAAACCAACTTACAGGCTTATTGGAGATACTGAACTAAGGGAAAGACCATGTAGACAAATTATGTAAATTGGTGTACACTGGGCAAACTAAGTGATTCCTTGCAATTCTCATAATCTTCTATAATCCTCTGAGTTTCCCATCATTGTAGTCAATTTAAACTATTTAAAGTTGTGATGATTTTCTTTAATATTAGCTCTATACCCTCTGTGAGCCAATGTGGTTATTTTACTTGCAGCCATTCTTTTTTGTTTTTCTTTCAGTTAGTGTTTCCCTTGATAATGACAAACTCTGTAGGTTGAAACTAGTTGGGTAATTATATATATATAGTTAGTGTATCTTAATTTTAACAATGTATATTTGATTTATGGTTTTATGCAATAAACTATATTGTCATATTAAAGTCATCTATTACATGTATGTTAGAAAAATTTAAAGTATGTGCATTTAAATCAGTGTTAGTGCCATGTATTGCTCATTTATATTGTCTACTCAGAGCAGCTTCTATGTAGTAGAATATTATTCTTTGTGTGAAAATACCTTAACACAAATTTCAGAAACTGGATGAACCTTAGAGATGCAGACACAGGAAAGGTCTTGTGGCAGGGAACTGAGGATCTGTGAGTTATTTTAATTTTTGTTTCAATTATGTAAGGTACACTATTTACCCAAACTTGCAGAAACCAATGACTAAAACATTACAAATGTTCATGACAGAAAAAATCAGATCTACGCAACACATGGTATTTCTGTATCCCTAACATTTGACTTAACAGTATAAAACAGGTGAAATATGATAAATATGGTAAAAGTAGCAGATTTATAAAATTTTGATAGAGAGCTAATTATAAGGGTTAGGCTGGAGGTGCAGCAGTCTTGAAGTTGCCTGGAAATTAAACCAGAAAGCCAGTCAGATGAGGAAACCTGAACAGGAAAAAAGGTGATTATTGATCAGGACTGTCATCATCCTTGCAGCATTTCAAAGAAAAAGATAAGATGGACCAACTGTTTTGACTGAAATTGTGAAATCCAGTTGTGAACAAACAGTGCCAATGCAATGGTGTTTAAAGAACTTCATGATATGAGTATTCATTGGAGGTATGCAATATGCGTCACTCATCTCAAATCCCATCATGACATCCTATCTTCTCCGATAATCCAATCATAAAGAACCTGATCTTCTGATGGGCATGTGATGTGGTTAGATGAATCTCACTTCACCTTGCTCTTCAGTGATAGTTGTGTTTATTTCTGTAGGTCAGGTGATGAAGTTTTCACATAGTATGATATTATGACATCTATGAGACCCTATCCACTAATCTGTGTGTGGTCATCTCCGTTATATGTGGTGAGACTTGGACAGTTGGCAAAGTCATGTCAGACTGTTTGTTGGCATCAGAAGAAGGATGATTTTGGTAAAGTGGACTTAAAGGAAGACTAATAAAGCAGTGTTTAGGTCATGTGGACAGGACAGGGAACTATTGTGAGTGGTATAAAATATAGAAGTAGGCATGTTGATGGAAAGTAATAAAATATGTAGAAGGCAAGAGAGTAAAGGGAAGACAAAATAAGTGATTAAACAACTGCAAGATAATGACTGCATTTTTAACATTAGAAGTGATTCATCTCAGGAGAGATGGAGAGTCACAGCCACCAACCTTTGGAACAGACACGGCATTATGACTTACTACTTAATGAACCTTTTGTACAGCTTCTTATCAATGATATTTTGGTGGTATACATATATATAGTTATGATTCACATATAATATTATAAGAGACAGTGGCATTGCAATGATGGGAAAGGCCTTAAGACAAGATTTTACACTTATTAACTCTTCTTCCATATTTGCACACCTACTTTAGCTTCCTTTGTCTGGTCACCCTTCCCTCTGTTTCTTAATCACATAAAATCAAAAATTATTTTCAAACATTAAAAGATGTGATAACTGAAATGATTATAGTTCAGTAATGCATTACTTGAAATTTTATTCATGCTACTTGGTAAAGACATCAATGCTACTTTGAAGTCGTCAGTTTTTTCAGCAGCCTGTTCTTGGTTGAGGGACAGAATCTTCAGCATTCTTAGGCTTTCTTAAGCCATTAAACTTTGTAGTTACTTCTCTTCATCATTTTCAATTTTGAAACTGAGCTTTCTGCACTTGCAGCTGTCTATGGGATGATTAAAAACATCATGCAGGCTGTGCACACACCTGAGAGACTTGATCATAAGTATCAGTGCTGAACAATCAGCAAGTAAGTGAAGTCTTTTACGGTAGATACTTGCATGGTTCCTTTTTGTAGAGCTGACTGCATAGCCAAGTTTTGTAAAAATATTTGGAAAGTATTTTATAAAATTTTGCCAAATCTTTTGTTTTAAATTCATAAGGTGGATCAATTAATGATAAAGTAATAACTGAGTTAGTCTTTTATCTTCACATTTTTTTAGTAAGACTTCAACACTTCAAAAATTAACTGCTCTCTCTAAATATGTTATATTATGAGAAAAGTAGTTATATGTTTTTCTGAAGCGTTGTAATTTTGTTTGTATCTCACTGCTGTAGTTACAGATGATGTATGAAGTGTTTTAATTTTGTTTGTATCTCATTGCTGTAGTTACAGATGATGTATGAAGTGTTGTAATTTTGTTTGTATCTCACTGCTGTAGTTACAGATGATGTATTATGATTTTTGAAACACATTGTTGATGTGCACTTACTACGGTATTCTTACAGTTCTTATTACATACTAGTTAGCCTGTTTGAAAAATACTGACCATGAAGATAGAGACCTGGTTGAACTATTTTTATTTTTTATTTCTGCTAAAATTTATTTTAGCACATCATTTCTATATTATTATTTTCCCATTTATGTAACACATGCGTAATTTTCTGTGGGCCTTGTAGCAATTAACATGATTATTTTACCTGTTACTATGCCTATATGTCCAACTGTGATATGCCCAAATATTTAAGCATATAAAACTTACAGAAGTAAAGAATTGTAAATAAATTCCTTTTTCCCTTTTTTTTTTCAGATCTAAACCAGATGTTGAACATGAAGGTAAGCTATTAAATAAATTGAGTGCTTGATAGACATAACAGTGTAATTACATATGAAAAAGCAAGATAACAGATGGTATTTGGTCTATTGACACCACTCCTTACCATAACAACAAACAAAAATATAAAAAAAACAAATCAAATTTCACAATTTTATGTAACATCCAACAAATTATTAACGCATTCAAGCAGTTCAGCAAGCAAAACATTCAACAAAGTTATAATTCTAACTGGGAAATAATTTGTATCTGAGCTTTAAGACGTGAGTGTATTACCCTTACCATTGAAGTTCATATTTCCAACTTTTTCATCCCATTCAATTAGACCAGTCACAGGAATATTGCCCAAACCCATAAATACTTTGAATACCTAAATTAGACTATTTGTGATTGTCCCACATGTGCACTTTAGAAAAACTCTAATCATTTACTCATGTCTCATAAACTTTGTACCTTCTTAATAATCTGTTTCTGTAGTACTTTCCATCATGTTAATATTATTACTGTTGTAAGGAGACCAAACTTACAGGCAATACTTCAAATGAAACTCTACCAATTTTTCACAAAGATAGAAAAAGCCTCTTGCTCTTAAATTCCTATTAAGAAAACCCAGAACTCTATTTGCTCCTTCCCTAGTATCCAGTTTTAAATATTTCCATCTTGAAATCTATTTCACATGCTCTGATCCAATTAGCAGGAGTGTCAAAATGATTTTAATAAATGGAGCTTTACCAGCTGTTATTTTGTCCTATTAATAGCAACCTTCTCATACCATTTAACTAGCTTATATCCTGCCCCAACAGATGCAATCTTCCTAAGAAATGTTTTATGTGAAATTTTATCGAAAGCTTTTTGGAAGTCCAGATACACCAGTTCAAATCACATTGTCATTCTTACCTCTGAAATACTGCAGGCCTTTTCTTGTTAAGTGAGCTCTCATGGTATCAACAAAGATGTAACTCAAAAATTCTGAATGTCCTTTATGTATTCCAGAGCATGAGTTACTTATCCATAATTCTCCACTTTCCTGCCATAATTTTGATTTTCTTATTGACAGTCATGCTGGTTAAATCCATGATGGATTTTGAAGTTCACGTAACTTCTGCAGCTAACACTTCAATAACTGCTTCACTCAATTTACCTCCTAATGTTTCTTTTAAAAATTAGAAATCTTTCTGATTCTTTTAAATCTTTATTTCAGCAGTGTTACCCTGTCTTGCAGATAGTTCCTGTAGTTGCATCAGCAACCTTTTTCGACCAAAGTATTTAAACCAATCGTGCTGGGTCCTCTGTGGTGAGCATCAAGGCCTTACGGACACCAATTTGATGGGTCATCGCTCTCTCTTTTTTTTCCTTCTCTCCAAGAACAAACAAGTTAGTTTGAACAGGCTTTTTGACCTTTGTCTAAGGAGCAAGATTTACCAACCAGCTCAAGTCCCGATAAAGATTCTTCTAAAATTATTTGCCTGTTTTTCTTAGGTATATAACATTTGAAATATTGAACTAATTTCTGCTACACCTTTAAGTTCTAACATTATTTTTGGAATCATATCTCTCTCATTTTCAGGTTATGGCTCAAGCTTTTAGAAACAAAGGCAATTTGCAAAGACTTCATTTGTCTCGTATTTCTCATTCATCTGGCCTTTAAGCTAGATTAGATTGTGTTTTTTTTTTGGGGGGGATATCCAAGTTGTCTTTCATCCTGTCTTATCGTCGGTATTTTTACCTTCACTCAGTAATTATGCTTAATTTACAGTTTGTTTGTTTTTTGTTGTTCAGTTATTAGCTGTAATCTATTATTTTTCTCAGGAGCAAATAAATGTTCAACATGTTTTTCTTTCTGCAGTACCCACTGATTTAGTCTCAGTTACCAGGTGACTTGCTTGTTCTTTTTTATTTATTAGCTCATAAACATATTTTAACAAAGACCCACCTCCCTACTAATATTTCTTGTACTCTTTTGTTTTTGTCAATATTTCTTCCAAATTAGTTTCACATTCAGGAGAAGTTTGTTAGCAGGAGCTAATTAGGGCTGTAGCTTCATGCATTACTTCAAATCTTTGTCTTACTTTTCAACATTTAGTTAGTAACAGCTATCCTCTTGCATTACCCGCATTTTCCTCTGCTATTTTTCAGCCTTCTAGTTCTGCATTTCCTTTTTGCTCCTCTCAATTTGTAAAACACAGAAGCAAGTGGGGTGGATCTTCTCAACCCAAACATTGATTTTCTTCCTTTCTGAGCAGCCTCTCCTTGTATTTTTTCAGGTAGGCCATCTGAGATCTTGTGTTCATGTGTGAAACCTTTTGGTTCCTCAGATCCTTCAGATTGGATATTTTATTCAATTTCATCCTCCTCTTTCTTCACTTTTATACCATCCAGTTTTTTCTTCTTCTGTTGAAAACAGTTTGAATTCAAATTTTGGATCAGGAAGTTTCCAGTCTTTCACAAGTAGGGGTTATTGAAAAAGTACTTCATTGATCTTTCCCATCTCGATCATCAGAACATTCAAAGGTACAGTCAGACCATTTGCTGGTCTTCTCGACACATCTCAGTATTGAGTTTAATCATTATATGGATGGTTTGCTAATTTTTACTCAATTGTCATTTCAGTTGTTGACTCAGATAATTTGCCTTTCTCCTGCTACTTTCAATTACCTTCAAGTTTGGCTTGGTTGAGAGTTGGAGGATCTTCTTTTCATCCAACTTATCCAAATCTGCATCTTTTCCCAAATTACTTTCTCAAAGGTTGGGGTGCTGTATTGAGGGAATGCCATCTTTCAGGTCTTTAGTCTCCTCACCAATCACTTTCTCGTCAGTGTTTAGAGCTTTGGGAATTTTAAGAGGTACTGCTTTTTTTTACTCCACCACTATTTCACTTTACACAGAAAATTATACTGTACTGGTGTATATCAACAATCAAGGTGGAACTCATTCTCACGGCTTTCATTTTGCTGTAGTCTCTTTAGGTCTTTGATTACATTGACATCACATATACATTATCTCTAAGCTTGTAATATACCAGGTGTTATTAAGGTTCTCACAGAAATCAACAGCTTCTTCCAACAGAGTAGGCATTTCAGTGGTTGTGCCATCAGCTAAGTCATCCTATGATTGATGCATTTGCTACTACAATCAGTCATCTTCTTCCACTGTCATGAATCCCCAGTTTCTGAGTCAATCTTGGGAGAAACTTTTTTTCTATGTATATTCTCTTCTTTATCATCTTCCTTGGGCCAGTCTTTAATGGAATTATCAGTTTCTAAAATTCTCAAGTTCTCCTTATTGCTAGCCTGCTAAACCATGGTTCCATTACTATGTTGTCTATCTCAAGGGAATTCTAGTCTGTTATTACTTTGGAAACATCTTCTCTGCCAGCCTTGGATATCCATCTTTCCAGCTTCAAGGCTGTCTTCTCATCTCTTATAGGTCAAATGTTCACATTCTTGTAGTCATTCTTGCATCACTGGCCATATATCAATCTGATTAGTTTATCTTCAGGAGTTGGTGCTGTCAAAATTAATTTTCTTGTTTTTTTCTATCTTTAACAGATTGCCTCATTTTTATGTACTTATTTTATGATTGTGGCTCGTCTGCTTTTCTGTTTCAGACTAAAGAGCTGTCTTGTCTACCACCCTTGGTTATCAAAGAAGTCATTTTCCTTTCTTTCATCCCCACTCTTTCAAGATCTCTTGTTTGAGATTTCAGCTTACTTTATCCATGAGTACCTAGACCATATTCTTAGTGGGATTTGAGTTTGCTTCTACTCCCTTTGAACCTTTATAAACTTGTTCACTGTACCATCCTTCCTTAAAGACATATTTTTCTGTTGCTCACTTCAGGTCAGAGGTGATTAGACATTTCACCATTTATGCTTCTTGAACTCTTTGTTTTTTCTTTTATGAAGGTTCTATACTTATATCCTGATAGGGTTTTTCCTACCAAATACTTGGGCTGTGAGAGAAGGTAATTGCTATTTTTCTTCAGTTGTGTTATCTACCCTTACTGACATTCTTATGATGATTCTTGGTCCATCCACGTTACCGATTTGTCTTGTGTCTTATCTATTGAAATGTACCCGAACACCTTTGCAAAAAATTTTAGATTATACCTTGTCAAATTTGTCATTTGCCAATGTCTTTGGTTTTAGAGAACATCTTACAAGCCAAAATGTGCATAAATACAAAAACGTTTTTCAATTTTACTTTTGTAATACTGCTGCCTCTTCAGCTTTAAGATTCTGTTTGCCACCAGTGGTTATTCTCCAAGCCAAAAGGAACCCATAGCAGGTGAATTATTTTCTATTTATTGCTTGTTTATTGTGTATAGTAACCCATGTATTTCTGTCTTGTGCAAAACTCTATTACCCATCACAAGAGTATCTGAGATTGTTAAATATTTAGAGAAAAAAAAATGTCTTTTTTTTTTTTCTTCTTCTTAGGAGATTCTGTACTGTATCTTGTCTGGATTCATCCAATTAAGACTCTTGCATGTTCATTAACCTCTGCATTTGTCATAGACACAATTCCAACTTCTGCACTGGGGCTCTATGTCAGGTTTTTCCCTCTTGAAATGAAAATAGAGTGCCTTCTGGTGGCCAATAATTCCTTGTCAGGTATTTTTATCAACTCCACATGTACAGCCTTGTATGACGTTAAGAGATATCTAAGGCAAGATAACCATTCTCAGTAAATGTCTCAGCTTCAGACAGGATGGGGGTCAGCTGTGTTTTTATTATTGTTCCATTGTATTTGTGATGTCTTCATTGCTCTGTCTTTAAGTTGTTGTGCCTCATCCCTACCTGTTTATGCCACCACCACTTCTTTTTTTTATTATTGGCTCCACAGCTACAGTAGAACATAATCACCCTAACTGAGCCTTTTTTTTTTTTAATTAACTGAAGGGTTTAAAGGGCAAAGAGGTACCCTGATAAGAAGCACGACATATTTTTGAGTGTCTTTATGTAAGGCTGATCCACTCCACTCATCCTCCATCAAATCCATTTCTTTGATTCTCTCTGGTTTCTGGATTTTACTATAACTCTGCTTGACTACATCTCTGTTATAGTCTAGATTATTATATTCCTGCCTTGTGACTTATATAACTCTTTGTTTATCACTTTTATTCTCACTGGTTCTTGCTTCTTTTTTCAACATGGGTATCCTGGCCTACAGTATTTCAGTGGTAAGACTATCTGATGTGAATTTTACATTTTTACAACTAAAATGAATTTCAAACAGGTACTTATCTCTGACATACCCACCTTTCCACAACCAGGCTATGTGTGGTTTTTCATCACAACTGCAATTTAAAAAAAAATCTGAATTATGGTAGTAAAGCAGAGCTTAAGATTTCCTGCCACATGTTCAGTAAATCACGTGGAAGGTGGCAGAATACATAATTATGGGTAAGTGATGCATGCTTTGCAGAGCATAAAGGACATTCAGAATTTTGAGTCACATACCTGTTGATAACATGAGAGCAAACTCAACAAGGAAAGGCCTAGAGTATTTCAGAGGTAAGTGCCTGTTTGACATTCATTTTAATTCTATAATGTAAAAGTTCACTGCATTATCTTTGTCTAGATCGAATGTAACAATTCAGAGATAGCAAATTATAAGACATGGTCATACCTTTTTGAATCTATGCTGACTATCTGTGATAATATGAAACTTGTCTAAATATTCTTGAAGAACTCCTTTCATTATAGAGTAGTAACTTCCCATTTACTGAAGTAGGACTGTCTATCCCCACCTCTAAAAATTGATATGCCCAATCTTTCTACATCTTGTAACTTTTAATAGGTTAATTAAAAATTAAAGTCATCAGCCTAGAATTATTGAAGGATAAATATTATCTGGCCCAAGTGACTTACCTTCTTTCATTTTTCTAATATTCAATCTTACCAGTTCTGGCTTCATCCTGACCTTTTTCAAGGATATCAGAAAATATTTCTGAAGATCAAATTATGGAATCCACTTACATCTTCTCTAGTACAAAGTGATGAGAAAAAGCATTTAGATGCTTGGCTATCTTGTAATCATCAACCAAAACTCTTCCATTCTCAGTTTTTAAAGGCCCAACTTTTATTCTGACATTCATTGTTAGGGGCACAGTGGTAAGTCTGCAGACTCATAATGCTAAAAACTGGTTTCATTACCTGTGGTGGGTACAGCACAGATAACCCATTGTGCAACTTTGTGCTTAACTGCTAAACAAATTCACTATTAGGTTTAGTACTTTTCATCAAATGTTTCTCATATGCCCTTTTTTGGTTTCTTAACATCTTTTCTAACCAGTTCTCTAGTGCTTTTATAGGCCTCTTAATATTTCATCCTTGCATTCAATTAGAATTATCTAATTTTCTTTGTGCAGGTAGTATAGAAAATTATGTTAACTTATTGCATGTTTATGTTATTAAATCACTCAAAGCTTAAATCATAACATTTGTCTGATTATGGTCTATTGTTAGAATCGGTAAAATAGGCTATCACATTTATTTGTGTGATAGCAAACTTGACAGTAAGGCAGCATTTATTTGTGTGATAGCAAACTTGACAGTAAGGCAGCATTTATTTGTGTGATAGCAAACTTGACAGTAAAGCAGCATTTATTTGTGTGATAGTCAAACTTTGACAGTTAAGGTCAGCATTTGCCAAGAGTGTGAAGTTTGAGAATGTGTTAGCATACCTAAAAAATGTAAATAAACTCAATTTGATTGACTTTAGTAGTAATAATACAGCTTTTCTGAAAATAGTTTTAAGGTGGTAAATTTTTGTTTGGGAAAAGTTCTTTTTTTTTAACTTTCCATCTATAATTATTGTACTTGTAATAATCTTTAAGATTTTTTTAAATTATGATAAATCATTTACATATAATATAAATAAATACAATTTTCCTTAAATGGTTTTTGCAGCAAGGGTTCCTAAAAAGATTCTGAAATGTCGAGCTGTCTCGCGTGAGATAAATTTTTCTTCAGTTGAGACAATGGAAAAATTTCGTCTAGAGCAAAAAGTTCTTTTCAAAGGCCGCTGCCTTGAAGGTGAGTTAAAAATTCAAAAAAAAAGATTAATATTCATATGTTGGAACTAACCACTGTCTCGTTACTTTATCTGTAACAATCAAATCAACTGTTAGTAGATATGGTATGAAAAAAAGAGTTACTCCAACAGAGAAGTATTTGGAATTTAAGAAGTGAGATAAATTTTTATTCAGTTGAGACAATGGAAAAATTTCGTCTAGAGCAAAAAGTTCTTTTCAAAGGTCGCTGCCTTGAAGGTGAGTTAAAAATTGAAAAAAAAAAGATTAATATTCATATGTTGGAACTAACCACTGTCTCGTTACTTTATCTGTAACAATCAAATCAACTGTTAGTAGATATGGTATGAAAAAAAGAGTTACTCCAACAGAGAAGTATTTGGAATTTAAGAAGTCAGTTGAATATTATTTTTTATTACTCTAATCCCTTACAGTCTCTGTATCTATTTATTTTAGTTTATCTTAGTCTGATATTATTTCGGTGCTGTAAGTAGATATTCAAAAAGAAACTTCATAGTTTTGTTCTGAATTTACTAATTTAGATATATTACTTAATTACTACAGAAAATCATCTTTTTTGTGATTTTTGTTTAAGAAAAACAGATTAAATACCTTTGACATTAATGTGAAGGTTTCTCTAAGTTGAAAAACAATTAGAAATAACTGTTTTAGAAATTGTATGACAAATTATGCTTATCCTCAAGAAGTGGTTTAGAAGATATAGTTTTGTTTCACACTGATCAAGAGATGCTGTGTAGCAATATAGGTGGGAAGAAATATACAGAAAACATGTTTGCATACAGGAAAGCAGTAGGCAATTCAACTGAAAGGTACAGAGTTGCATGCCATGAATATGCATTTTCTTATTGCACAATACAGTATACACTAGAGCAGTGTTTCCCAATCTAGTGGGCATTTTTAAAATTCAGGGTGGCAGGGGAGTAGACAGAAAAGTTTTGAGGGTTTTAAAGTTAAATTTGTAAAAATTAAACCATAAGAAATAGGAGTTTTTCTTTCAACATGTTTGAGCAATAATCATTGTGTGGGTGTGTTTGTGACAAGCAATGCCTACCCCAATGTTTCTTGCCCATTTGTTGAGCATGTCTCTTTTGGTGCCACTTTTGTTACTTGTATTAAAAGTTTATTAGAAGGGGGCATGAGCACACATTGTGTGCTGAAGAGTGTGCTGCAGTAAAAAAGGTTAGGAAACACTGCACTAGAGCATTGTGGTGGACACCTATCAGGTTGAATTATTTAACTTCCCACTTGTTACTACTGCATTTTATGATAAACTTCACAAGATTGATAATAAGGCATTGTCTTGTCTTGCCCCCAAAACTCATTAGCTAGTTATTATGAACTTGAGTAGCTAAATTAAAATTTGCTAGCTACATTTCACCAAATAAAGGAAGTTAACTGTTGCTACACATGTATTTTACAGTTATCACCCGCATTTTAAACAGTGAAACCAAAACTATTAGATAAAAAAATAATAATACATACATTAAAGCAGGATTTATTTTATAATAAATTATACAGTGAAACCAAAAATATTTTAAAAAGTAATACATAGACTAAAGCAGGATTTATTTTATAATAATTATGAAGTTGACTTTTATTTTGACCTTCGTGTTTTAACTATTTTGCTCTAAAGACTGTTATTTACAAAAAAAACAAAGCAATCATAATGTGTATATGCAATAAAAACAAATGATTCACTTTCATAATTTTTATATATTAGAACTACTGATCAACCTCCTATCATTGTTCTATCTACATATGGATAACATGTGTTTCACTAACTGAGATTTCACTGAAATAAATTTATTAGTAACATGCACAGACTACTTTGTTATTGACATTCACAGTTGTGGTATTTTATTACTCTAGTCTTTTATCTGTTTCAGTAATTGTTATCCACTTATACCCATTCTTAGCAGTGTGGAATCAATAGGATGGGAATTTCTGCTTTTTCGGTAACTTTTCTTTTATAAATTATATCTTTCAAATTAAAATACTCTAACTGTGAATCAAATTAAAAGTGTATACACAAATGTCTCACGCATGTGACATAATTTTGGGCAAACACAAAGCTATTCGCTGTTAAACAGCAATTCACTACTTGTCAAATTTTTAAAACACATACATACACATAAGATAATGAAAACATAACCTTATTTAGGTGGCTCTTTAGCTAAAACATCTTCTGTTAGAACAACTATTTTAATTTTTGTGTTGAAAATGCATATGTTATTGTTATATTTTAATATTTATACACCAAGATGATTTTAAGTATGGCCAAAGTAGCACTTGGGTTCTGAATAATTTAATCATGTAAATAACAACCAAAAATACTGAATACATAAAGTAAACTTGCATTCATAATTAAATTTTCAAAATATGTTGCTCAGTTAACAGAAAATAACAAGTTTTTGTGAGAAAATATCAGAAACAGGTTATTAACATCTGTGATATATTGTGGTGTTGAACTTAACACACATGAGAACAATGAATGTTATAAAAATACTTTATTATTTTTACAAATGTAATATAGATGTAGCAGTAGCAGCATAGTTTTTTGGTGCTCTTAATTCCAATCTACTCAGTGATAAATATCAATATTTAATGACATGGGCTCACACACTTCTGTTTGGGAAGGTCAAGTACAGTATCAACAAAATTGTGAGAAGTTCTTCATAAGACTTATGGCTTTTTTATTTTTATTTTAATCAATTTAGTTTTATAGAAATAAGTACTTAAATTATCAAATTCAGAAATGAGTTTGACTGATAATTTTTTTCAGTTTTTTTTCTTCATTATAATTATGGAAAGTGCAGTTAACAACAGAAAATTGTAATATTATTTATTATTAAGAATAGGGCATGTAAGGGTACCCAAAGAACGTCTGTTTTATTTCAGATTTAGTTTTCAGTATTTTTAATTCAGAAAATGTGATTATAATTCTTTAGCTCAATGCTTCCCAAACTTTTTCAGCTCACAGCACATTTTTAATGTCCCAAACTTTGTGCAGCACATGTGAATAAGTCCGTATGGCAGGCCTAGTAGTACTCTCCTGACTAAGACAGGTAGAAATGACTGTTATACTATGTGTTAAGGAGAAAATAAATCAAATTTTCAATTTGAACAACTTATGAAGTTGATAACAGATTTACATTACTAAATAAAAATTACTTAATAATTATAAAAATTTTGTGGCACACAGTTTGGGAAGCACTGCTTTAGATTATAGATCAGTTAAAGAGAATATCAGATAATATTGTATTTATGTTTAAAAATGCAAGTTTTAATAATACTTCTATTGTCGTTTGCATGATTTTGTGAATAAATGTACAGTCCAGTTTTTGATACTGAATATTATTGAGCGTAAAGTTTTTCTTCCATTTATTTTATGTTCATTAGTAATATATATATATAACAATCTTTCTTTTCTACATATCTTCAACAGAGTGGTTCTTTGAATTTGGTTTTGTGATTCCTAACTCCACGAACACTTGGCAGTCATTGATTGAGGCAGCTCCTGAGTCCCAGATGATGCCAGCCAATGTGTTGAAGTAGGTAACCATTTACTGTCAGAAACCTTCTTTTCATATGTTTTTGGAACAATGCAAGTAAATATAGACATATTTTTCTTACATATCACATCCAAACCAAGTTGCAGTTTCAAAAGTGAAGTTTATTTTATTTAAGATTAACTTAAAAGCAGGCTGAAAAATTTGGAATGCTCAAAGTTGCAGCAGTTTTCTTTCTTTCAGAAATTTAAAAACTTACTCCGTTGTTAAAAGAAATGTACTTGTAATTAAAATAAGAAGTACATTTAATGGAGAGACAAACTTTGTAGGACATTAAACCTTATTAATTAGAAGACAACACCTCTCTTGTGTAACAGTAATTTACCTGGTTATATTCTGGTTTTCTGCCATGTGGTTTTTCTTAATAGTTTGCATCCTTTGTTCTCTCTTCAGGCCTCTCAGTGGCCCTACTATTTTTACATAAATGCTCAACCTTTTGAACATTAGCCATATTTCTTAGTTTAAATTAAAGGTGTTAATTGATAATTATATCAGATTTTACAGCACTGATGTTTTGTTGGCATTGTTTGATCAAGCTGTGATCGAAAAATTTTAGATTGGAGGTATTGAAGGAGGGAAATCTTTATTACATTCCATTATCCCAGTGGAAGTATCTGTCGGATTCTTTCTATTTAATTGTTCTTTATAATAATATGTAATAGGAAATGTAACTTCATAAGTATCACTTACATTTAAGTTGAAGGACATGAAACAATGTATTTCCTCATTGCTTGCTTACAAACATAAGGCAAGAAGTATAACAAACCTTTTATTTTAGCTAGGAACAGTTGAAACATTACTATGAGGTTTCTTAATAAAACAAATATTCATAAAAACCTTAAAAAAAAACAGAATATACTCATAATCCAAAAATAATGCTGGGGCCAGACCTAAAAGTTCAAAAGCTTTTAATGTCAAAGAATAACCTTTATAAAAGAATATAAATACATCACAAACAAAGAAAAAAGATCCATAAAGTAAAACCTAACTTCAGAAGTTATCACAAAAAAATTTGTTTGACAAATAATAATAATAATGATAAATAATCCTAAGCAAGTAATTCACACAACAATGTAAATGCCCCCCCCCCCATTATTTGCTCATGTTAATTATTGTTACTATATTACTTAATAGTAGTAATATTTGTATGGTAGTTTTTAAAACTTCTTTACTTTTAACTTTTTACCTTTAGATATAATTAATAGTGTAATAACTGATAATAGAAATCTATCTGTTACTGTTCCTGTATTCAGTTTTCTGTTGTTCAAACAACATCTAAAATCATCATTCTATTTTTTACTATGATTAATGGCAATATTCATTGTGAATGTGATGGTTCAATTAAACCATTGTTAAGCATATGATTTAGTTTTTCCTTAACCCTATATGGACTGGTGACCACATTTAAGTTGTTGAGTGCAAACTTACATATCAGATTTCAAGAATGAAGTAGAAACAACAATTCTAACTCTTATTTCAAAAATTTGTATTAAAAATATTTTAGAATTGGTATTTTGTAACTTTTATTTATTGTAATTTGCTAAGAAAAATGGAAAAAAAAATCAACTTTACATTTCTGTGCAAGCTGTGAAAAGCCTTGTTGTAAGCAACAAAAATGACAATGTCTTATTTTATTTTTCTGTCCATCTCAAAGCATAGTTGTATGTTTGCAAAGAAACTATCATCCCTTGAGAATGTTTTGTTTCTTATGTGATTTTCATTTTTGTTCTTTGATTTTATTAGTGCAGTGTCTTGTTCATACCTTTTTATGAGCTCACAACATCTGGTCTGAAAAAAAAAATATGCTAATGAATCTCTACCTTGAAAATAGCTACAGGTAAAGTTTAAACACCACTGGGTAGAGCAGTTTATAAACTATTTACATAATTGAATAGTGAATAAAGTGATATAAGAAGTAATTTGAAGTTTTGTGGGATAATGGTTAGATGTAGCTTCTGCAGAGAACAACAAAATTTGGTGGGAAGTTTAGAAGAGTTAGGAACAAACCACAGAGCTGAGAATTTTTTTAGATTGTTTAGATGTCCTTTTAAGTCCTTAAAATGTTTTATTTTTAAATTATACTTGTTTGAAAGCTATGGAAAATTTCTTGTATGACAAGGTATCAAGTAAGCCTAGTTAGGTTTAGAGAATGTAGGAAGCAATGGTAAAATATTCTAATGACTCAAATTCTTATTTATTGAATATTACTGATAAGTTTATCATATTGAAACAACATAGATAAGTAACAGAACTTAATATGTATTGTAAGTAAATTAATCTTGGCTAATCTGTACAAGAACAAAAATATGGTTACTTGGACTCACTTGATGACACTGTGATAGGTCTTCAATAATTCTGTGTCAGTTTTTGCTTTGATTTTATTATTTATAGCCACAAGTGGTGAATACTATAAAAGCATCAAAATAGATATGTTGGTAAATATCAGTCAAGTTGAAACTGATTTTATATATTAAAAGTAAATTTCTGATCAACAACAACAATAACAAAAAAAATTCTAAGATGAAAGTAAGTACTTTTAATGGTTTTTCAAAAACAGTGTCCTTCACCAAAATTTTTGCAATTTAACAATGTAAAATATGATAGAAAAATTAAATCCTATCGTTGTTTTTTAGAACAAATCTAGATACTTTTTAACAACTTTTATTAAGTTCCGTGTAATTCTGTTAAGTGAGAAGGAAGGGAAAAAAATCATGGGTTGCAAGCGACCATCCCCCAGTTTAGCTGAGGGATAATGATATGACCTACTAAATACAGCTTTTTCAGTAGTACTATCAGTGCTGTTAACCAGACTAGTTGTGGTTTTTCATTAAAATTATCAGAATATTTCAGTACTAAGTTATTTACATTTTAACTTCTGTCATCTTTCAAATTGATAAACTTTAACTTCTCTAGTATATTTTGCTTATTAGGACTTATTAAGAATATTCATATCAGTAGTTCTATTTAGAAATTTTAAAGCCAAGTCCTATTTTTGTAGAAATTCTTGACCAAACAAGATTTTTCAAAGCAAGAAATGATTGTTATTTAGTGATATTTATTATAGCTATTTCAGCATTTAAATATCTAAGAGGCTTACAGTTAGTGGGTTCAGTTGTGAAAAAAAATATATCCTTTCTCCTATTTGAATAATTATACATTAGAATTTTTGATCTATCATAAAATAACCTGCACTGAAAAAATAAACTTGAAACAAACAAAGTTAGGAAAAAGAACCAGAAATAAAATCCTAACTTTGAAAATTATTTTAAAAAATCTACTTAATAACACTTAAAATTATTTAATTACAACTGACAATAACCTAAGCAAATAATTCACACACTATAAAGCCCCTGATCTCTTGATCTGGCTCTCTTACTCTTTTCTATTTCATTTTTATTATCTATCAGACAAGAGGATTACATTTCAACATGTGATTACTAATGGCTGTTGACAGAACATCTGATCGATGTGTTTACATATTGTGACAAACTAATTTACATAAAGTTATTTACTATAACTATTATGATGGAAACCTCATTGCCATCAACAGTCAGTCATTTCATCTAACTGCTAAAATTAGTATTAAAATTCACTAGCTGAAGTTAGCTAATATTTCATAACGAAACTGAAAAGACAGTTTAACCTGAACAACAAAAAAACAATATTTTTTAATATAAACATAATAAAAATCAACCTCACAGCAGTAAGGAGCATTTGTTGAAAATAGATGTTAACACTGATTTGAGGTAAATAATAGCAACACCACATGGTCAGACCAAATTTTCAAAATCTTGGCTTAATCAACAACACAGGCTGCAAGTGAAGTATACTGAATCTGATCAATTGTTCAGGTAATAGTAAATGATAGAAAAGTTTTCTTTTGTGTATTAATAATGTAGCTTAAATTTGCATTGCTCCATTGAACTCTGACAATTTTTGGCATTGATTACAAATTTTTCAGTTTTATAACATTTCCCTCTCCTTCTTCAAAAAATATGGCCCTACTTTTACCAAATTTGTATTACAATTGTGCTGGGAGGCCTATCTTTTGTTTATGCATGTTTGCCTATACTATATATATTGATGTATTGAATAATTCAAAAATAATTTGCTAAGGTAACAACCATAAGAGCAAACTAATTTTATTTCAAAACCATTTCTTATCTTAAACATTTTCGATAGTTACTGTAATTCTGAAACAGATTTCAGAATTGGTTAAGCTGAGGTAATTCACCTTTTGCTTCTTTTTGTATGTTAAATCGTGCCAGTATGCTTGTCATGCTTTATTAGTATTCAGACATGTAAATAACTAACAGTTTACAAGTTGAACTAATCTGACTGAATTTCTGGCCTCAGTTTATGAATGAGTAAGCTCCCTTTTATATAGACTATGATCATCATTGGCCCTTGCTAAAATATTAAAATAATTTGAATAGATGACTTTGTAACACTCATTAGGGTGTGCTCCAATGCACTTAATTTATTTAGCATTCTTAAGTTTGCGCATTCTTTCACTTATGTTAGCAGCTGTTTTGTTGAAGAACCAATATAACCTTGCTTGCAAGAAGGTCACATGAAACTTATAAATTACATTTGATCTTTTTTTATGAAGAAAAATGATCTTTATATCTAAATAAAACCTGCAGGCAATATTATTTATGTATTTGTCTTTTTTAACTTTGCATGTTCTTTCACTAAAGTCACAAAATCTTTAACTCACTAGTTTTTTTTCATATGCTTATTGACATAACAGAGGTTAGGTCTGTACTTTAGTGGTATCTGCTTTAACCTAATTTTACTTTTAATATGGTTTTGTGTGATAAACCTTTCAAAACATATTTTTCATTTTTTCAGTGGGAATGTGGTAATAGAAACCAAGTTCTTTGATGATGATCTCCTAGTCAGCACTTCTAAAGTGAGATTGTTTTATGTATAGTAATAAAAGTAGTTTGTGTCTACTTGCTTCAGAATGTGTGTGATTAACCAATATGTTTAGCAAAATACACTCCTTCACAGTAAGTCATTTTTAGTGAGAAGTTGATTCTAGCCAGCACTTTGTTGACATGTAACTTTCCACACAGATTTTTTTTACAAAATTTGATTCTGAAGTACATGTGGTTACTCTCTCAAAGTTTATGTTCCCCCTCCCCCAGATGGAAAGTATGAATTAAGAAAAAAATCAAAGATTATTAACATGCGTAAATGAATGTATTTATGCTTGTATTGTTCAATCATAAACAAGTTTACATGTTACAAAAAAAAAGAAAAATGCATCTCCTAAAAGTTAAAAAAACAAAACAATTATGACAAAGTTTAGTTTGTATGTTTTATGCTTCAAATTGGAATGCTATGAAGTTAATGCATACTTCGTGATTAAAGTTTGCTTAGTTGACATAATTGTCATTGTTTCTCAGATGATTCTGGTTTCTCTTTTTATAATTTTTTTCGAAAAAAAAGTTTGATTTTATATTTTAAAGTGAAATTGTTAACCAAGGTGATAAGGACAAGTTTAACATAACATAATGTTTTGGGACAACATGGAACCTATTGGTCCATCTTCTAAACTAAATTAAAATAATTTATAAAAAAAATCTTAAAGCCAGCCCTTATCATTCATATACTGATCAAACTTTTTCTTAAACTCACTTAAATTTACTGCTTCTACAATATCTGAAGGCAACCCATTCCAAAGGCCAACCACCCTGTTAGAAAAATGAAACTGTCTTAGCTGAAGATGATTTCTACTTTGGCAAAATTTATATTTGTGTCCCCTAATCCTACTATGCTCACTGTTAAGTATCAAAAAAGATGATGCATAAACACTATTAATTCCCTTTACAATCGTAAACACCTCAATCAGATTCCCCCTAACTCTTCTTTTTTTCAAGAGTAAACAATTGAGAAATTTCAGGCTCTCCTCATATGACAACCCCTCCATCCCAGGTACTATTCTAGTAACCCTTCCCAACAATTCAATGTCTTTCTTAAGGTAAGGAGCCCAAGACTGAACAAAACTGAACTTTTGTCACTTGTTTCTGTAGACGTATCTATTATGTTTTGAAAAAAACTAATGAGAGATGATACAAATTGCTTTTTAAATTTAAAGAAAACTTATTATGCACTCAAAAATTGCATTATGATATCATCAGGCAAATATTTATAGTTGTTAATGAGGCTGATTGTAATTATCCTTATTCATTTGTTGTTAGTCATTCATATATGATAGTTGTACTTAGTAGATTGTACTGTTGTGTTGAATATTGATTCTTGAGTTAAAGATAAAATATAATTTGTTTGTGTTTAATTAGGTAGTAGTAATAGGTCACATTATACTGGTTACATTACAATTGTACATATAAGAATTTAATAATGTCAAAGAGGGAAGTTTGGATACTTAATAGATTAGTTGCTGAACTTGGTTGTGTATAAGATCATAATAATTCAAAAACATTGTTAAAATCGCACATTGTTTATTTATATAAAAAATGATGAAGTTGTAAATGTAAAAGATTTTTTTAAATTATATATCTGAATATACTATGAATAGGATATTGGAGATGTACAAGATATGAAATGTAGCTTTGCAGTTTACATGCTACATACTTAGTTTATAAATGTCAGTACTATTTGTAAATTCACAAGTGCTCAAAGAAATATATTTGTTGATTTTTTAAATGTACATGACAGTTTATAACCTTTGTTTTATTAAATCACCTTGTAGATGTATAAATTATGTAGATTTATAAATTTATGTGTACCTGTAGAAAATAAGCATTTGACATAAAATGTAGTGTGCATTTGTAACTTTTTGTGCACATTTCATAAATTGACATATGAATTTAGTGTATAAATATGCTATTTATTAAAATGACTGGGAAATTATATATTTTCTTGTACATTTAATAAATAAACAAGTGTATTTCTCAGCTAATTTGTCAATTTACAGATGGTAGTGGCATTTATAATCTGACAACTTGTTATCATTTTCCTGGTAACAGAGATGAAAGAAAACAAAGGTGAAGAGACCACGGAGTATATAAATTCCACATATAATTTAACATGTTGCAAAGTTAGACTTGGCACTCTATAGAGATGTGGTCAAAACTTTGGAAAAATGTGGTAAATTATTGTTTTGATTGAATTTTGAGGTATACAGTTTGTGTAGTATGCTTGTTTACCTGTCATTCTTGTAAATTATAAAGGCAATCAGGTTAAGAAGCAGGCCTGGAAGTAGTGATAGTAAGTGACAATTTTCTTGTTATTGAGTTACTGAACAACATACTAAATGTTGGCCAAAGTATTAAATGGAAGCATTCACTGTTACATTCTTTTGTAATAATTACAATCTGCAACCTCTCTAGAGAGATGAAAATAATATTGATATCGTTAAGATGACAAAGTTAATAAAAAAACAGTAATATACATTCAGTTTCTATATTACTCTCAGTGATAGGTGGCTTTTATGAGAAGAATAAGACTTTTCCACTTTTACAAAAGCAATCAAACCAAGTGATAACTTTCTTTCCTCATGCTAAAGTAGTGACCACTGTCCAGACTTTAATCAGCGAAACATTATTTAAGGGTGTAAAGAGGACATTTTACAACAGTCCTTTTATAAATAACAATAGTAAGAAAGGAAGGAGGGGGTATTATTTTTAATTTGTATGTCAAATTTCTGTTAAGCATCAAGTAACAGATATCCTAATAATATGTTAGTCATGCCATGTGTCCATTTTAATTGTTCTTTAACAATGTAATGTAAAGGTTTCAGTTTTAAAGATTAAGCCTACTGTAAAAACATACCAGTTTATACATGTTCTTATCACTAGACTTCTGATGGCTTGTTATCTTGATCCATAAACTGATATATTTTTCAATGGAAATATATCAAAAATATCCAATGCTCGATATAGGGTATCAAAGGTAGTAAAGTGTATGTCTGATCTTTAATGTAAAAAACAATTCATTCCTCAGAATTTATGACTTGAAGTGTGGTTATCAATGCTGTTTAATAAAACATGTGTGTTAAGTTGATTTATAAAGTGTGTTTATGTTTAACATGATATTCATAGTGTTTTTTTTTATTCATTACAAGAAATGTTTGCTCTGAATAAACAAACCAGTAGGAATATCACATTAAACCAGTAGGAATATCACATTAAACCAGTAGTAATATCACATTAAACTTAAAAACACTATAAATCAAGTTAACGTACATATTCTATGAAATGGTATTGATAAATTTTATATATTTTATTAGAAGAAATGTTTGTTCTCAAAAATAAAGATTATCAATACCATTTCATAGAATATGTACGTTAACTTGATTTATAAAATGTTTTTAAGTTTAATGTGATATTCTGATTGATTGACTTATTCAGAGCAAGCGTTTCTTCTCGTAAAAGGTAGAGAAGCTAGAGGAATATTTTTATGCAGTTTGTCATGAAAGATATTTTTACAATACAAGAAAATACTTCTAAGTAAATGTGACAAAATGTGCATGTGTTATTTCAATCACATCAATTATGCTAGAAGTTGGTATTACATACTCTTCAATGTACAATACACATACATAATATGGCTTAAAACTGAAATAGTGAGTTTAATCATATTTAAAGGGTAATTTTATGTAATGTTTTTTGATGTCAAAACTTTCTAACCAAACCCTTTTCAGAAATAGAGTTAAATTCAAAGTAATTGTAAAAATAAGAATTTAAAGATCAGTTTTGGGAGAATTAGGGACAAAAGGTTTTATACCTTAGCAAAGGAGGAACTTTAGAACTGAATTTATGAAAATGTGTAAAAGTTAAATTATTTTTCTAAACAGCTGAAGAACATTAATCATAATTGCTGCACATGTTGGAAAAAATCAAAAATATATTTGATTTGAAATAAAAAACATAATTGTGTTGTTAGTATTTGTTTACATGATATGATAAGAAAAACAAAGTAATTAATATGTAGACTGAATATTAGTTTAAATATAAAACTTCCAGTGGCGTTACTCTTGATTTAACAGTGACCTTTGTACTACAAACATACTGTAAAATGTTGATCTCACATACTTCTTGGAGAGGGGAGCAGATATGTGAAATGAAATTGTACGTAAAATCAAACAGTTTCACCGAAGTTAGCAATTCACTATGAAAGAAAACTAAATATCAAAAGTTACAGCTTATAACTTATAAGCATTGGCAATGTACAAAATTGATACATCGTCTGATGTGATTCTATTTATGTATCTTCATGAAATTTTGCAAGCTTTCAGTAAACATTATAAGTCTTTTGTACAGAAAAAAATCAGAATTTCTAATAAAGTATTTTTACTAAAAATTAATGTTTTAATATAGGGAGTCAGAGTAGTCACTGCTCCAAATGTAAAGCAATTTTCATTTTAAGATTAAAAATACTTTTCTCCGTCTAAAAATTTACAAATTTCTTTTGTGTAATCTCTAAAACTCCCAAAATAAATTTCCAACTTTTTGTTTTGATAAATCTTCATATTTTTTCTGCTATATTCACTACCCTAAATTTATGTGAAGTAAATCAGTTTGACCAGCCTCCTAACCATCATAAAAAATACAAAATAAATCAAAATTACCCTTTTTTTACTTTCTAGAATAACTTCAAATTGTAGCTGGACAATGTTAGTAATATTGAAAATAAATTACAGGTAAGACTGTCAAACTTTGTAACAAACCATTGGTAAAAGTTCTGTATCTAGATAGGTATCATATTGTGGCATCAATATCTAGATATGTGTCATATTGAATACTATCGTATCAGCCTTATTATAATTGTTTGTGTATGTATTTTGCTCAGTTGTTTTTAACTGTTTAAGTATAGACAAAATTACACCTATAATATGACATTTATAATTACTGTGTTTGTAAAATGCATCAGGTATTCATATACAGATTAAGATTTCAAAATATTTGAGGTAAATTATTTTGCACCAATAAAATAATATGTAATGTTAGGCCTGCAACTGCTTGGTTAGTTGATGTTTCCAGAAAATCAACATTGTATTGTATATACAATAACCAGTATATTTAGTTAATGAAAATGCTGATAAGAAAGTTTATTATGATTACCCTTATTTCAATATTTCATGTAATCACTAGGATCTCTAGTTAATTATTTTTAATGATAGAAAATATAGTTGTGCCTGTTAGTTAAGGCTGTGTTCAAAGGGTTTGTTTGCTAGCCAGGTATATGAAGATAGTTCTAAACTTATAAAAATTTGTCAGGTGGCATTCAACCAAACAGTGTCATATTTTGTTTCTTTTGTTGACAGAAACCATTTAACAATGTTTGAGTATTAATCACATATTAAATGTCACTCATGGAAAATTCAGTGTTTTGATTTATATGATGCCCATTACTTAAACAAAGGTTGCTATGTTGAAAAAATATTTAAAGAAAAGACATGCCACTAAAATATTATATGAAGCGAGTCATTCTGTGCATAGGAGCAGAGCATTATGGTAAAACACAGTGGG